CTCCACTCTCAGATAACTAGACTGCTCCTCCCCCCTCCCCTCCAGATAACCAGAATTTTTCCCTCCACTCTCAGATAACTAGACTACTCCTCCCCCTCCCCTCCAGATAGCCAGTATTTCTCCCTCCACTCTCAGATAACTAGACTGCTCCTCCCCCCTCCCCTCCAGATAGCCAGAATTTCTCCCTCCACTCTCAGATAACTAGACTGCTCCTCCCCCCTCCCCTCCAGATAGCCAGAATTTCTCCCTCCACTCTCAGATAACTAGACTGCTCCTCCCCCCTCCCCTCCAGATAGCCAGGATTTCTCCCTCCACTCTCAGATAACAAGACTACCCCTTCCCCTTCTCCTCCTCCTCCCCCCTACCCTCAAGATCGCCAGAATTTTTCCCTCCACTCTCAGATAACTAGACTGCTCCTCCCCTCCCCTCCAGATAGTCAGGATTTCTCCCTCCACTCTCAGATAACTAGACTGCTCCTCCCCTCCCCTCCAGATAGCCAGAATTTCTCCCTCCACTCTCAGATAACTAGACTGCTCCTCCCCTCCCCTCCAGATAGCCAGAATTTCTCCCTCCACTCTCAGATAACTAGACTGCTCCCTCCCCTCCAGATAGCCAGAATTTCTCCCTCCACTCTCAGATAACTAGACTGCTCCTCCCCCCTCCCCTCCAGATAGTCAGGATTTCTCCCTCCACTCTCAGATAACTAGACTGCTCCTCCCCCCTCCCCTCCAGATAGCCAGGATTTCTCCCTCCACTCTCAGATAACTAGACTGCTCCTCCCCCTCCCCTCCAGATAGCCAGAATTTCTCCCTCCACTCTCAGATAACTAGACTGCTCCTCCCCCCTCCCCTCCAGATAGCCAGAATTTCTCCCTCCACTCTCAGATAACTAGACTGCTCCTCCCCCCTCCCCTCCAGATAGCCAGGATTTCTCCCTCCACTCTCAGATAACTAGACTGCTCCTCCCCTCCCCTCCAGATAGCCAGAATTTCTCCCTCCACTCTCAGATAACTAGACTGCTCCTCCCCCCTCCCCTCCAGATAGTCAGAATTTCTCCCTCCACTCTCAGATAACTAGACTGCTCCTCCCCTCCCCTCCAGATAGCCAGAATTTCTCCCTCCACTCTCAGATAACTAGACTGCTCCTCCCCCCTCCCCTCCAGATAGCCAGGATTTCTCCCTCCACTCTCAGATAACTAGACTGCTCCTCCCCCTCCCCTCCAGATAACCAGAATTTCTCCCTCCACTCTCAGATAACTAGACTGCTCCTCCCCCTCCCCTCCAGATAGCCAGAATTTCTCCCTCCACTCTCAGATAACTAGACTGCTCCTCCCCCCTCCCCTCCAGATAGCCAGAATTTCTCCCTCCACTCTCAGATAACTAGACTGCTCCTCCCCCCTCCCCTCCAGATAGCCAGAATTTCTCCCTCCACTCTCAGATAACTAGACTGCTCCTCCCCCCTCCCCTCCAGATAGCCAGGATTTCTCCCTCCACTCTCAGATAACTAGACTGCTCCTCCCCCCTCCCCTCCAGATAGTCAGGATTTCTCCCTCCACTCTCAGATAACTAGACTGCTCCTCCAGATTTCTCCCTCCCTCTCCCTCCAGATAGCCAGAATTTTTCCCTCCACTCTCAGATAACTAGACTGCTCCTCCCCCCTCCCCTCCAGATAGCCAGGATTTCTCCCTCCACTCTCAGATAACTAGACTGCTCCCCCCTCCCCTCCCCCTCTCTCAGATAACTAGACTTCTCCTCCCCCCTCCCCTCCAGATAGCCAGAATTTCTCCCTCCACTCTCAGATAACTAGACTACTCCTCCCCCCTCCCCTCCAGATAGCCAGAATTTCTCCCTCCACTCTCAGATAACTAGACTGCTCCTCCCCCCTCCCCTCCAGATAGCCAGAATTTCTCCCTCCACTCTCAGATAACTAGACTGCTCCTCCCCCTCCCCTCCAGATAGCCAGAATTTCTCCCTCCACTCTCAGATAATAGACTAGATAACTAGACCTCCCCCCTCCCCTCCAGATAGCCAGAATTTCTCCCTCCACTCTCAGATAACTAGACTGCTCCTCCCCCCTCCCCTCCAGATAGCCAGAATTTCTCCCTCCACTCTCAGATAACTAGACTGCTCCTCCCCCCTCCCCTCCAGATAGTCAGGATTTCTCCCTCCACTCTCAGATAACTAGACTGCTCCTCCCCCCTCCCCTCCAGATAGTCAGGATTTCTCCCTCCACTCTCAGATAACTAGACTGGTCCTGACGCCTGCCCTCCAGATAGTCAGTATTTCTCCCTCCACTCTCAGATAACTAGACTGCTCCTCCCCCCTCCCCTCCAGATAGAATTTCTCCCTCCACTCTCAGGATTTCTCCCTCCCTCTCCAGACTGCTCCTCCCCCCTCCCCTCCAGATAGTCAGGATTTCTCCCTCCACTCTCAGATAACTAGACTGCTCCTCCCCCCTCCCCTCCAGATAGCCAGAATTTCTCCCTCCACTCTCAGATAACTAGACTGCTCCTCCCCTCCCCTCCAGATAGCCAGAATTTCTCCCTCCACTCTCAGATAACTAGACTGCTCCTCCCCCCTCCCCTCCAGATAGTCAGGATTTCTCCCTCCACTCTCAGATAACTAGACTGCTCCTCCCCCCTCCCCTCCAGATAGTCAGGATTTCTCCCTCCACTCTCAGATAACTAGACTGCTCCTCCCCCCTCCCCTCCAGATAGTCAGGATTTCTCCCTCCACTCTCAGATAACTAGACTGCTCCTCCCCTCCCCTCCAGATAGCCAGAATTTCTCCCTCCACTCTCAGATAACTAGACTGCTCCCACTATCACCTCCCCTAGCAATAAGCAGTACTCTCTATATGCCCGGTCACACTATTCTCTTTGGTTTTGGCTGAAACAAAAAATCTAGAAACAGAAGTCTTATACTTTTATATCAGTAGAACATGCCAGATGATGATTTTGTTTTCTCTGTCTCAATTTGTAATGCTTTTGTTACATATATTTTATTGTGAAAAATAATTGAATCTCCATATGCAGACTTTTTTCACTTCTGTCATGATTTGTTGTGTGATGTTTTGTGCCAGAATTCATCGCCATTTTGTGATCTCCTTTCTATCTGTTTTATTACCTTCTTTTGAATTAAAGAAAAAAACACTGTTTTATCACTACAAATCCATGGACCTGAATTATTGTTTCTTTTGTGAAAACAATTTTCCATTTTGCCAATATTTTCTGAGAATAAACTTTACAAATCTTCAAAGGCAGCTGATTTTGCCAGGCATTTTTTGAGACAATAAAACTAGAGAAATGAGAAGACATTAATTGGAAGATCAGTACACAGTCAGTGGGTTGAAGAAAATGCCGTTCACCTGACATGGGAGATTGATAGGCTTAAAATTAAACCTTTTGGAAGTTCTACCAAATTTATGGATTGGTTAGGTGTATAAAGGATTTTAAATGCAGTGTAAAAAAATTGAACAGACCTGATGTGTCAGGGCTTCCTTGGAGGTCTTCCAGCTTCCATATCTGTTTTTACTGCCCCAATGCATAAGGTGATCCTTGTCTACACAAACTTCTCATTCTTTTTCTATTTTTTCTGCAAAAGAGAAAGAACATTTTGTTTGTTATTCTGTTTTAAGAAAATTGTTTTAAGGTTGATAGAATTTATCCAGCTATGTTCATGCATTATTAAAAGCATACAATATCCTACAGACCAATGCAAGCTTGTATCATGATACAAAATTTATTGTCCATCATGGTTATCTCAAACAACTTCTTCTTCAGAACCACTTAATTGAGTTCAATCAATAAAATTTCTCTAGCGACTGAAGAAAGGAAATCTTACAAAAGACATGGTCCTGTTAAGGGGTCAAAATAGAATAATCAGCTATATTGTTTTAAATTAATTTTTCGGTGTTATTTGGATAGAGGCATCTTCAGGTGGTAAAACCTGATAACTACAAATAGTAGTGCTGGACACCAAGGGGAGGTAGAAAACCAAAAAGTAATAACTTAGTACAGTATTCTATCCTGTGATCAGTTTGTGGGCCAATACATGTATCAAATTACTTAGTCAGAGGATGGGCTTATTACAGGACAATGAAATATGATCTGTTTGTAATTCTTTTGAATAGCAATATTGATGAGCTTATTTCCAGGCATGGGCTTATTGGTGGATAAATACTGTAATTGTAATGATGGACTTTGATATAATTACACAAAGACTCAATGATTCTTTGATTTAACATATACAATATGAATAACATTGTATTATAATTATACATATTGTGTAGCAAAAGGTGTACATTGAATTGACCCGCTACACCAAGGGATGAACACTTTAGGTCATCAGCCGTTCAGAGAAAGAAAGTTGTGTGACACCAGTGCAGTAAACAGATTGTTGTAGCTGATTAGGGGAAAGTGTTCACAGCTGTTAATGATGGCAGTGTATACTTACATAAGTCAACATGTGACAACCACTACAGTGATGATAGAATGTAAAAGTTGTTGTTGGAGAGTAAGTGTGCCCAGAAACTTTTTTTATATAGTGTTAGTGTATGGTTTTGATTGGTCATCCCACTGGTTATTGTGTTATGGTTAAATACATTATAGATAAGCAATATTCAATCCAACAAATAATTCCAAAGGCCTCAACACTTGTATGTATTTCCTTCTCGTTTCCCCAACTCCATGAATAACGTTTATGCTAAGCTTGAATGAGGCCTTCATAAAACAGTGTTTCTAGTCGGTAACATTAGTATTACAGTGGCAATTTTACTGTGTTGGCCCATTAAAACTAGTGCAATATTAATGAAGCTACTCTTATAAAGGTTTTAACAAGTGTGTACTGAAGACATTGTAGAAAAAGAAAGGACTTTGTCGATGTATCAGCAGACAAATTGATTTTTGAATTGTTGAAGCAGCAGACAGTGGCGTGCTGATGATGAGGTAACGAGAGAAGAGAGCTTGTCCATACTTACAGGTGTTATTGTTTCACAATTACAGGTGTTCTTCCGGGCAGGTGCTCTGAACCAACTAGAGGCAGCAAGGGACGAGAAGATCACTGGAACAGTTATAAGGCTACAAGCTTGTTGTAGAGGCTATCTGGGCAGGAAGTACTTGGAAAAGTTACGGGTAAGTAAGATGTCTGAGTTGGTCTTTAATCCTAATATCACTATTTATAAGATCTGACATGTTAAATTTTTTGCAATCTTAATCATGATTTATGCCTGTTAATGTATTTTTAAGGAGAAGGCCTTCTTTATTGTAATATAGATATAGAATCGTGTGATACAGCATTGTATGTAGGTTATGATGTCCTGTATCATTTGCTTTCATGGAAATCAATAACACTTTTCATTTGCTTATAAATTTTTTATTTTGATTTTTGTCCTAGTGTGTATTGTAAGCAGTAATCAATAGCTAAAGAGAAGGGTTATTACCGTCAGGTTTACCATCCAGCTTTAGCATTTGGAAAATCTAAATCACCATCGCAAAACAGAATTTCAACAAATTAAATTTCCCAACTAACAACAATAAGTTATTAAAGAGGTTATTTTGCTGTAGAAAGAATAATTTTGTGAACTTTTTCCCTGAAAGGTAAAACATATCGCCATCAGCTGTATCCAGAAAAATATACGGAAATTGATGCTAATACGTGATTGGCCGTGGTGGAGGTTATACACAAAGGTCAAACCTCTACTGGATGTACACCGAACAGAAGAAGAGCTCAAATCAAGGGAGGTTAGTCTCAGCAAATGTTTCAAAGTAGACGGAGTAGTATGTGACAGTAGACAAATGGATGATGTAGAAACTAATAAATCAATTTATGTCATAAATTTATAGCACACGTTGATTAATAGAAAGATTTAATTAATCAATAATGATTGATTGATTTATTCTATTTTCAGTTACTGATTGAGTTATTCAATTAATCCCAATTTATTAACAGATAATTTATTACATAAGTATGAATTAATGAGTATCTACATAAATGCTTATAGATCATAAAGTGACCTCATTCCATATCATTAAATATTAATCATATTTTGTAGATTAAATGCTTACATACTAATTGGTAGACTAAATTATCACTCCGAGTAACGAGAGGATCTCAGAATTGTGAGCTGGTGTTGTTAATTTTGAGGTTTTTTAATGTAAAACCAATTTTCATGATGTAATACTTACCATAACTTTAGTATGCAAATACAGTACCTACACCCATCTTTGTATCCCAACAACAAAAGATTCAAAAGAAAAACAATCCCGCCCTCCCTACGATCCATGAGCCATCACGGCAGGAACGCAGAGTGATCTCCCTTCCTCTAATAACCTTTATGGCGTAAACCCCACAGAGGGGCAGCCAGGCAGATAAGGAAGAGGGGAGGATAGGGTGGGACTCCATAAAGTTATGGTAAGTATTACATCATGAAAATTGGTTTTACATTAAAAAACCTCAATTTCATTTCAGTAATAATTACCATAACTTTAGTATGCGAATTCGTCTTACCGTAGTGGTGACTAGAAGCCAGGCAGCCCCTTCAGCACAACCAAAGTAGTAGGGAGGGAGAACAGATTGCTAAAGTGAAGGAAGGGACCTCTCTGTGAAAGAGCAGGTGTACCCACATGCCGCCGTACGGAAAGACATGGCCCGGGGCTAACGAGGAGGCCCAGCCACTGACTATGCCACCACCAAAGGTCCCAATGAATACAGGCCTTCTGAGTGGGAAGCTAGGGATCACAGATAAAAATCTGTTAAGGTATCCCTGCCCTGCCAGAATACTGCAGACATGACCTCCTGAAAGGAGGACTCATTGAGAGAAGGGCCCAGGATGAAGCAAGGGCCCTGACCTCGTGAGACCGCGCTTTCACTCTCGCCCGAGCCAGATCATCAAAATGCTCGTAAGCATACTAAATCACCTGGCAAACCCACCTGGAAACCGACTGGGAGGAGATATCTCGTTGCCCCTGTTTAATGGGCAAAACAGACGGGATCGAGAGCCCCGCCCCCCCCTGGTTTTATCAAGATAAAACCTAAGAGCCCGACAAGGACAAAGCAACCTATCTCGCTCCTCCGAGCTAGTCACAGCCAGGATCCTGATGGGATCGTGCGAGAACCCCGGAACCTGATTCTTCGCTAAAAACAACTCTATTCATAGCAAAGCCTCTGATTAGGGCAGAAAGAGAGGAGGACTAACCGATCTCCTTCCTGCCATAACAAGCAAGAACTCTGGCAATAGCTGTACGATAGCCAGCAATAGTGCCAGGTGGCAGATAGCGGTACCTAAACAGAGAGATTAGGAATTCCGCAATCAAATGCAGAGGCTTCGAATGAATAAGCTTCCTTGCCGACACACCAATCACAGAAGATCATCCAACGTGACTGGTAGACGGCAGAAGAGGAAGCCCTGATTGATTGCTCAATGCAATCTGACACCTCTTGAGAAAAGCCTGCCTTGGCGTGGCTTCCAGAGATAGCCTCAGCGCGTGAAGGTGGAGGATCTCTGGTCAAGAGTGTGTCGTTCTGGGCCAAGGCTGGCGAAGGAGATTCGGTCTGGTGGGGAGAGCCAAGGGCTCCTCCACCAGAAACGACAAGAGCTCCTGAAACCAAGCTTGCCTCGGCCACAGAGGGGCTCTCAGAAGTAAGGAGCAGTGATGCTCCCAGAACTTCTGTAGAACCCTGCCCACCAGGTTGAAGGGAGGGAATGCATATGCATACGTCCCTTCCTATTCCAGAGAAAGGGCGTCCACAGCCCACGCCTTACGGTCTGGGACCGGGGAGACGAAGGTTAGCAGCTGGTTGTTCAGGGAAGTGGCAAACAGGTCTATAATAGGTCTGTCCCACGCCTGACAATTCCCCTTGAAAATCAAGGGACACAGCTGCCATTCCGTCAACACCGGCTGGTGGCGCCTGGAGAGTGGCCACCAACACACTCAGCCTGCCAGAAAGATGCTTGACCGCTATGGTCAACTGCATGTCCTGGCAGAGAAGATGGATGTGGATGGAGAGGGCACACAGGACATGAGACCTGGTGGCCCCTGTCTCTCCAGATACTCGACAACTGTTGTCGGTAGCCACACTTTGGACTGCAGGATACCCCTAAAGGACTGCAGAGCCAAATGAACAGTCTCATCTCGAGTACACTGATGTGCTTCGAGAGTTATTCGCCAGACCACTCCCCCATCGAGGTAAGCTCACATTCCTGTCATGAACGCGTCCATGAACAGGATCATAGAGGGGATAGGCTTGGTCAGAGGTACCCCGTGGAAAACGTTCTCCTGAATGGTCCACCAGCAAGAGAACTCCCTGACCGACTGGGTAAGCGGGATCCAGGCCTCCTGGATGACGGAACCCAGTCAGACAGGAGGAACATCTGGAGAGGTCCGATGTGAATCCTCCCTAGGGGGACCACATATGCCAAGGAGTTGAGATACCCCAGAAAACTGAGGAACCAATGTACCTGGACAAGCGACCAAGTGATGAAAGTCAGAGCCAGAGCCCTGACCTTCTCAAACTTCTCCAGAGGTGGAAGGGCTAAGCCCCGAACCATGTCAAAATGGTTCCCCAGGAAGAAGAAGTCCTAATATGAAGGAACCTCTGACTTCTCTCTGGAAGGAATGAAGCCGACTCTGAGCAAGAGTTTCAGGACCAGACGAGTGTCCTTCACTAACGATTCCCACACCAAAAGAGGCATGAGGGAGTCGTCGAAATAGATGTGGACGTCTATTCTGCAGGAGTGAAGGAAACACCAGCAGCAACTTGGTGAACACCAAAGGAGCTGTCGTGAGCCCCAAGGGCATCTCTGCCTTGGCAGCATGGTCCCTACTTCCTCCTGGAGCACCCGTGCCCTTTCTGAATCCCCGGGAGGAGGAAAGAAACAAAAACGGCCAGGAGGCGAGGGACGAATCCTGAAGAAGGGGAATACCTAGACCCTCCCTGACCACCGACAAAAGCCCAAGCGTCCTCTGTAATATCCTGCCACTAGGAAAGGAAAGCAGAGAGACGTCCGCCCACAGGGAGTTCCGGATGGGGCAGATCGAGCCCCTGCCAGACCAGAGAATCGTCTGCCCACCCGGAGCCTGAGCCTGCAGGAGAAGGACATGAGCCCGGGAAAGGAGAACCACCGTCCACCCGGCCATACCCTTCGCCTTTCGCGGCCAAGAAGCAGAAATAGTCAGGAACCCTTCTTCTTGCCCCCAGGAGGTTTCTTACCCTTCCTACCCTTCCCCTTGTTGCCGTTGAAGTGAGGTTGGGACTTGGGCTGTGCAGAAAACTGAGCAGCCGAAGACTTCGCCTTCTTCTTAGGAGGCACTGACCCCTGCGAGGCACTGGCCTTCTCAGCCTGAAACCTCTTCACCAGAAGTGCTGAGGCGACCGAGTCCTCCTTCATATCCTTCTGAACCCAAGGAAGAGCTCCCCTGAACAGGGTAGAGCCCTAGAAGGGGGCATTCAACAAGCGGAAACGGTAGGGTTACTGGACTGGGCGGAATTTCAGAACTGAAAACTGCCTAGCCAACACGGCATTGACGAGCAGAGAACCTGCAAGGCTGCCGTGTCCTGTATGTCGGCTGTTCTGTCTCGGATAACCGACACTCAGGCAAATCGGATACCCTGTATAGACAAACTGTCAGGAAGTCTATGTATGACAGAACTTGGATGGAGAGGTGCAACATTCTCTCCATCCTGTGGTGCTCTTTGGGATCGAGCACCACCTGGTCCACTGATTTGCCGGGCCAGGCAGCCAGCTGTCTCAACTCCAGCTGTGCTGGTTGAGAGGCCAGCTGCCCATCATGTGTGGCATAGTCGGAAGCTGAAGCCTCCGACAATTCACCAACACTGAGCTGCAGACCGACAAACCCGAGAGCACGGGTAGAGAAGGAGTCCTTCTCTAAAACCGGAGCCCGGGCCGTGGCCAGAACCGAAGACATGATATTGCCTTCTGGCAGAGACCGATCTGAGCGAACGGAAGCCCGAGGAGCCACCAGGGAACCCAGAAGGATGGTGGATTCAGGCGCCGACGATGCTGAGGCGGTGGGCAAACCTCCGCCCTGAGAATCCGGGAGATGTTGGCCCGGAGGACCCGCATCCCAGAAAGCACATGCTGAGCCTCAGCTTCAGCAGTCTCAGGGCCATCTTCCCCTTGTGAACCCTCTTGGCCCAGGAGAAAGATGAATGACATCGTCTTCCTCTGCCGAGCCCGCACCCTCGATGTCCATCTCCTCCTCAATAGAGACCGAAGTCCCCTTGGGAGGAACAGGGGCCGCCAGAGGAGCCATCTCCGCAGAGGGGAACTCCTCTTTATGGCATTTGGACGCAGCGCGACCAACAGCTGTAGCTGTAGGCTTGGGTCGGAGACCCGAAGCCGACCCCTGGGAACAGGAGACCGACGGGTCCGCGCTGGAGGCGGAAGTCCTTAAGGTCTGGCAAACCTTTATAGGACCGGCCAACAAGGCCCCCGAAGTAGCAGAACATTGGGGGGATTCCGCACTGCTATAACATCTCCTAGAGGAGAGACCAACCCCTATGGGTTCCACGAGTGAAGACCCATGGGGTAAAAACCCAAACCCCTGAGGGAATGGGAACGGTCCAGCGGGCCGGGAGTGACCCCAGAACTGGCCAAGATGGCCTGCCTGAGTCTGGGGCTGGACATCCTGTCCAAAGGACCAGGATGAACCGCCACTCCCACCAGGTGGAAACCCAGACATGTACAGGCTAAGCCCGTAACTGCTGAGTAACTGTTGGTACCCAAAACCATCCGCAGGTTGGCCTGGGCGACCCAGGAATAAGTGCCCGCAGGCACCCCTACTCCCTGAGCCCGGGGGAAAGGGAGACCGGAAACCGGACTCCTGGCCTGAAGCCCCAAACCCTTGGAGGAAAACCCCCTGGGAAACCCTGCACTGGGAAATCTGGATTGGGACGGAAGTCCCAGAGCCA